AACAAAACTGAAAAAACAGTAAACGAAAAAACAAAGAACATACCGCTGCAGCAGGTACAACAAGACAGAAACAAAGAAAATAAAGACAAAAGAATAAAGACAAAACAACAAAAAAAAACAACAGAGACAAAACAAAAGAGACAAAACAACAGAGACAAAACAACAAAGACAAAAGAACAAAGAAAAAACAATAAAGACAAAACAACAAATAAAAAACAACAGAGACAAAGCAAGAGGCAGAATGCCACTGCGGTGGTCCCCCCACAACAAGAAGAAAAAAGAAAGAGAAACCGAAAAAAAAAGAAGAAACAGAAAAAGAATAAATAAATAATATATTATTTATTTAGTTAAATAAAATATAAAATAAAAACAAAAATAAAAATAAAAAAAATAAAAATAAAAATAAAAATAAATAAATAAAATACCATTTGTTCGTCAAAGAACAAAGAAGAAGAAGAAGAGCCAGGACAGTCGCCAGGGCTCGTCAGCCGCCGCCACACCCGCGCAGCCTTCGGCCCGCATCGAGCCAGCACAGCCCTGAGCAGCAGCAGCAGCAGCAGCAGCAGCAGCAGAAGCAGCAGCAGCAGCAGAAGCAGCAGCAGAAGCAGCAGNGCAGCAGCAGCAGCAGCAGCAGCAGCAGAAGCAGCAGCAGCAGCAGAAGCAGCAGCAGAAGCAGCAGCAGAAGCAGCAGCAGCAGCAGCAGCAGCAGCAGAGGCTTATGCATGCATATACAGGGATAAATAACTTCCGCTCAGACTGCATACATATACCCCAGTTAGTGAATACTGCTGCTGCTGCAGCTGCTGCTAGACACCCAGCAGCAGCAGCAGCAGCACATGCCAGAAGCAGCAGCAGCAGCAGCAGCAGCAGCAATGTTCTGTTGCTGCTGCACTTACTCGCTTAGGATGCGCCGCTGCATGAGGGCCCTTATCTGCTGCCAGTCTAAACGATATGCTGCTTGGCCGTCTGCAGCAGCAGCAGCAGCAGCAGCAGCAACAGCAGCAGCAGCAGCAACAGCAGCAGCAGCAGCAGTAGCAAAAGAAGAAGCAGCAGGACATTCTTCTTTAACCCCCACAAGGCATATCAATGAAACCCTAGACCCTAAACCCTAAACCCTAAAAACCCTAAACCCTAAAAACCCTAAACCCTAAACCCTCAACTCAAGTTACATAGCCATAGCAGAATTTGCTGCTGAGAAGCAACAGCAAAGAAAATGGCTGCATGCGTCTGTTGCTATGTTTGTTTGCGGTTATCCTAGGGTTTAGGGTTTAGGGTTTAGGGTTTAGAGGTGAGGGTTTAGGGTTTAGGGTTTAGGGTTTACCTTTCATTGAGGTGGAGAGCAGCCGGTCCGGGTGTTTGCTTAGCCCATCGAGCAGGCGAATGAGCTGAGACTTCTGCACGGAGACCCGCGACGCCTGCTGCTGCTGC